CCGACTTGTAGTACCTCGTTGTTATTGGTCCAAGGGACCTTGGCGCGTGGAGCGACCTCATCAAGGACTTGCTGACCTATGGTACCTCGTCAGTATTAGTCGAAGTGGCCTTGGCGTAAGAAGCGATCTCCCTCAAGGACTTGTCGACCTGACTGAGGTTCAGGTGGCGACCTGTGAGGTCGACCTCCTCTGTGTGTGCATCCCATCATTCTTGGGTCTCCCGAAAGTCAGCTCCCACACCGAATGTTCCAGAGGAAGGCACAAAAGCCAAGTCTACGTTCAGAACTACCTCCAAGGACTTTATCCCGACTAGCCACGTCTTTCCAAAGATCTCGAATGTTGTGCGTGAAGCTCACGCTAGCCAATGCCTATATAAAAGTCTCATTTTCAACTTCAAGAGGTATGCATGATTCAACTCTCTCAATACTCTAGCAATATTGCTTTCAATTCTCTAAAAAACCTCCAATTCGCTAACTTAAGCATCAAAGTGCCTACCCTGGGTAAAGCAGCTCGGGTACTCTTATATTGTCTCTTTGTAAGTCGACTTGACAGACTAACTATCTCGATGCCTGAACTACCCTCTATTAGGGAGCTGTCAGATCGCACATCATCATTTAGCTTACTCAAATTTATGTATTAATGAAGTACATTTCAATTTAGGTATATTTGATTGGATCCGATTTAGGCACATTTGTTAGAATTTTCATTATTTTTGACATATTTATTTTGAAAAGTTAAATCTAATTATTTTATCAATGTTTTATAGAATTTTATATTTTTACTAGTAAGTGTGCATGTACTTTGCGCGTAACAATTTTAGATAATGATAATTATAAGAATAATATATCTAAAATTTTCCATATACTTTATGTATTTTTTATTTTTTATGTTTTATTATTAATATTACAAAATTCAAATATGATTACACAAACACCTTATCCAAATATGTGATAATCAAATCAAGTTATGAAGTTTTAATTATCATTGATAGGCCTACTCACTTGGCTAGATTCTTCTTTTTGTAGTGTTTTATCTTTTTGGTGTATTTTTTTTAATTCATTTATAAAAAAAAATGTAAGATTTGAATAGAGGGAATTAAATTAGGTTAAAAGTAGTAGTTTAATTTACAATTTAAACCTTACTAGATGGTTGAACCGTTTAGGTCATTGGTTTCGCTTGTGGCCCTGAACCACTATTTTACAAAAAACCATTGAAATGGTTAGAAAACCAATGGCCCGGATGGTTTAACCATTAAAATGTTCAACCTAATTAATGGTTCTCGAGTTGTTTTTAAACTAATTCCAACTTATTATTTTAAAATAAAAAAATTGAAAAGAGAAATTTTCATATCTCATAATCTTGTTCGATTATTCCCAATGGAAAAAATTAGTTAGGGTTTCTAGTTTTTCGACTTTGATTTTGATTTTTCTCATATTTATGATTCTTTTTAAGTTGTAACAACAAACAAATTACAATTCCAATGAAGAAATAAAAAAGCGATGCAAGAGATGAAAGATTAAACACTGAATTTATATTAAAATCTAAGATAAAGCAATGAAAAAAACGATCTGGGATTTGAGAGAGAATTAGAGAGATGTAAGAAGAGGACAATGGTGTTGTATTGGTGGTGATGATGAACATGGATAAAGCCGACAACAGTAGTTCCTTTTTCTTCTTCATTTTTGTCTTCATCTTCTTCTTCTCAGGGCAAAGCGGTTATGCAACAATGATTGGTGAACATGATAAAAATCATCTCTGTAGACGCTTCCTTCTCTTCTTCTTCTTTTTCATCTTCTTGTTCTTCTCTTTCTTTTTTCTCACTTCTCGGCATTAACCAACTGCCTCCTTCTCAAAGTTTGACACTCCCTCTCATAATAATGTATATACACAGTGGACATTAACCTAATCTTAATCTAATGGTCAAAATAAAAAGTTACATTAGTTTGACCCACTTAACCTGGATGGTTAAACCATTGACTTGGAAACTGGAAGCCAAAGTAATTCCGTTTCTAGGGCGGTTTTAAAACCTTGATTTTAGTTGAAAGAAAGTTCCACAATCTTGTTCATATTTTTAATAATAGTGTAAATATAGAATTATAGCTATGTTTAATTTTTTCTATATATATATATTTTTATATTTTTATGTATAAAAATAATTTTGATATATCATACTTACTTTTTCTTTAATATGATAAATACATGATATTATACACATGTTGTCTGAATGTTTTTTTTTTTTTGCAAAACTTATGTATTTTTTTGATTTTTGTATTTTTATATTTTATTAATTTTTATTATTTATTTATGACATTAAAGATTGACACATTAAACCAAAAAGTTGAACTATTTATTATTAACTTTTATATTTCATTTTTGGTTTGTTCTAAATTATGAATTTCATTTTCATTATCAATAAAAATAATTCTTATTTATTGCACTTATTTTTTTTTTGAAATTGATTAATAAAAGTATCATAAATGTGTCTATTTTTTCTATATTTTTTTTGTAAATTTTTATGTTTATTTATATTTTAAGAATTTTATTATGTACTATAACTTCATAGGTTGATCATTTTGATTCGGATGGTTGAATTGCTTAGCCACCACTTCGATAAAGAATGGTTTTGCTTTTGAGTCAATTTTAAAAACATATGGGTTTATATTGTTAAAAGTATTGACATATATCTAATTAGTAGCATTTATTAGTGAAAAATAACTTTAAAATGTAGGATTTAATAAGAGAAAATGAGATTTAATACGTTAAGTATAAGAGTTAATTAGAGAGGATTAAATGACGGTGGAAAGTAATAATTGAAGTTATATTTTCAATCCTTACAATTGGAGATGATTTAAATACACAAATATAGCCATTAAAAATGCATTAAAATTATAATAAAATGACTTTTATACTCTTTCTCAAACAATGAAATAGATGATGATTTTAATTTAAAAAAGTTTCACATAGTTTCCACACTTTTATATATAATATAGATTATCATATAAACATATTTAGAGTTTTTTGGTCCATCAGGAAACAATCAAGAATATGGTTTGCTGTTCCAAGGTTAACATTAATGTTGTGTTTAATTTGAAAGAAAAGGTAGGGAAACCTATACAAATCTACTAAAGGCCTCAATATTCTCTCTCTCTCTATATGTTTAGAGTTTGTTTCTTTCTATTCTTCAACAATCAAGAGATTGGTTTACTTTGTCATTTTTTTGGACTGCTATTTTTGTAATATTTTTGGCTATAATCTGAACATTTATTAATGAAATTTGCTTTTTTGGTTAAAGAAAAAAAAAAGAGAGAAGTCTTCATTAAAACTCACCTTATACATTTTTTTACTTGTTCAGATGATCAGAACAAATTAGAACTTTCAAAATCCTGACTTATGACACTATACCCCCTTTATTGTCATCAATTCTCCCCATTGTTATTATGCTCAACTATACAATGTAATAAAAATTTGTCAAGTGGGGATAAAAGAAGATATGCTAAAAACATGCAATCCCGAGGTTGAGACATCTTAGAACTTTGAATGCAATATGATTCAAGTTACAAATTTATTGTGAAAGTAAATCTAAATTTTCCCCAATACTTCTAATTAGATTTGCAACTTGGATCAGGTTAACCCTAATCCATACTGAAAAAAATTCGGGTTGATGATTGAGCTAGAATAGCATTGACTTCTGCAACCCAACTTCACTTCGGGTTGAACCCTCTTGTAACCTGACCCAGCTTGAATATGACTTTATTATTGCTATTTTACATAAGTATTATAGTCCTACTACATCCTACATACGATGTTCAGTTATTTTAACTCTTAAGCCCTAATCCTAATGATAAGTTATTATTAGTGATTTTCGTTTTATAATTTTATGTTTTAAAAAGATATTAGATTTTCAATAGTAGATTTATCATAATTCATAATAGACATTAATCAATTAAAACATTGCTATTTTCACTTTTGTAATAAAGCTGTAAAAGAACCAATAAAAGTACCAAACAATCAAATACCAATAAAAATATGGTAAATATATGATCTTAAAAGTTGGATTTTAAGTCTCTTGGTCCAAAGATTTAAGAAAATTTGAGAAGATTTTAAGAGGATGGGAAAAATAATAAGTTGGGTTGGGCCCAACTTGAAGAAAACCTTGAGCTGAATTGGATTGGGTTAGGATTGAGGGATTTTAGGTTAGATTAGGGTTACGGTAGATTAGATAGGGTTAAAGTCAGGTTGGATTAGGGTTAGGGTTTGGGGTTCAGAACCCCAAGTTTGTTAGGATTAACACTGCTGGACCTTAACTGTTTGTGAGTAGGGTCCTATTCGGAACCTATTGCATACCCGAACCGACATGCCAGACCCATTGCCACCAATGAAATAATGGATCCACCACATCCACATCTCAATAATTTGCCCGATGGATATCTAAGATGAGATGAGATGAGATCCATGAAGCAGTGGGGCCCTTCCCCCCTCATGAAACCAAATCCGGCTCAAATGGGTCTCTCAGGGGAGATGCATCAAATGGTGGGTCCCACTTAAACATGCGTGATTGGAGTCCGGATCTTCTGCCCAGAAGAACTCTGCACGTTTACCCACAACACCTACGTACGACGATGAGATCTTCCCCATGTGTGGTTGCGATGTTACGTGAGAAGACGTGGGAGATCTGGACTCGTATTATTGCATGTGCAAGTATCTGAGTCTAAGGTTTTGTCTACTGTATAATTTTCGGCCTAGCGTACTTCATGGACGGTTGAGACCAGCCAATCACATCTGTAGGACCCACACACCATAAATTCTCAGTCTTTTAATCTTTTTAATGCACATAGAGAAGGGAGACCACTAATTAAAGAAAGGGTACAATTATTTTAAATTATTTAAAAGTAAATAATAATGATGTTGAAGTAAAAAATAATTCAATAAAAAATTAAGTTAATAATAAATAATGAAAAGAGGGATATAAAGCTGGTTATCTGTTTTTCTGAATTTCTTGTTGAAGGAGAGCTCTTCTGCTAAAAGTCGTAACTTGCCGCAGAAGGTTCTCTGTGCTTAAAAAATACCAAAAGAGAAGAAGAAGAATAGAGGAAACATTTATCCTGCTACAAAGCCTAGATTCTTGAAATTAGGATTTTTCTTCAAGGGAGTTCACGCTCTTCTATCTGGACACGTAATCGACTTTCTTCTCCTGGTTTTTATTAACTTGGCCAGTCGTTGAAGTACTCCGTTGTCTGGGATTCCCTTTTATTTTCTTTTTAATTTTCCCAGTTGGATTCGTAGTTGGTTGGCGACTTGGCGTGTCAGTTCGAGAAATTTCCTTGCTTGGCTTTTCCTGTTCGTTCATGGGTTCTCGATTGGGTTGCTCACGCAGGTTTAGGAGGTGATTGATCCGGGTTATGTGAGGAACGGTGGTTGGGGGTGAGGTATTAGGGTTACATTGATCATATCTTTGGTGGGTATTTGGGTAATTTGGGTTTTGTTGAAGGTTTCTGCCATGGGTTTGTGACAATTAGGGTTTTTGTGCATACTCATGGTCTTGGTTGGTCAGGTTTTCGCCAAATTTGGGGTTTTTATGTTAGTGGTGGATTTTCTGTCTGTGGTGAAGTGATTCGTGTTTATGCATCGCTGAATTGAATTGATTGTGGTATTGTTTGATTCTTAACTGGTAATTTCATTGGTGTGGTTTGAGGATTGTGGAGGGGGTCGCTTGGGTGTGGCTATTGGAGAGTGAGAGCAAGATTGAAAAATTTTAGAATTGATTGTTTTTTAATTGGTTACTGTGGTGGAGATTTTGATCTAGGGATAAGATGAGTTCGAGTGTTACAGAGGATTTCGCCTCTGGACGGAAGCTACTCGTTCATATTGCGGAGAACGGACACACTTTCGAGCTTGACTGTGATGAATCGACGCCGGTTGAGGCAGTTCAGCGATACATAGAAGGCGTAGCAGGTATTCACTTAAATGATCAGCTTCTGCTCTGTCTGGACATGAAGCTTGAATCTCAACGGCCCTTGTCGGCATACAAACTCCCTTGCGAGGATCGTGAGGTCTTCCTCTACAACCGAGCAAGACTGTTAACGGATTCACCACCTCCTCCATCAGAGCAGGTTGATATCCCGGAGATTGTTGACCCGCCATTGCCATCGGCTTCGCAAGACCTACACCCTCTGGATGATGCTACAGACCCTGCAGTCAAAGCTTTGCCTTCTTACGAGCGGCAATTCAGATACCATTACCAACGTGGGCATGCTATTTATACTTGTACCCAGGTGAAATTTGAGATTTGTGAGAGGCTTCTGAGAGAGCAGAAAGTGCAAGAGAGGGCTATGGAGACTGCCACTGGAAGCATGGAACATTACTATAGGATGATACACCAAATGTATGCCGACTTCATGAAGTGTTACCTGCAACAGCATCGGTATCATTCGGACCTTTTGATGACTTTTGGGAGGGATATAGAGAAACTGCGGTCCTGCAAGCTTCACCCAGCTCTGCAGACAGAAACCCGCAAATGCCTTCTTGATTTTGTTAAGGAAGAAAACTTACGGAAATTGGTAGAGAATTGTAACAGCTCTCACAGGCAATTTGAGGCAAAGGTTTCACAACTTAAGCAGATGTTTAATGAATTGAAGCGGCGGGTTGAAGATTTGTTTTCTAGCAAGGCTTCTTCAGCAATTAGGGACTTAGAATTGATAGTCAAAGACCACCAGAGATATCCCCATGAGCAAAAGAGTATAATGCAGTCTCTGAGGTTGGTGTTTGTTTTTTTTTTATCTTAAACCTGCATCTGTCTTGTTTCTCATGTTTGTCAGTTTAGGACTTTAGGGTAACCAAAATTTATCTCTTTTTTAGGATATTGGTATACAAATATATGTTGCATGAACTTAAAAAGTTGATTTGAAGTACTTTTTCCTTCCCTCTCCTTCAAGTTCTAGCAAACCCCAAATAATCCATAAAGGTTGAAATGTAAATTAATTAGACTTGAATCCTATTTCTACTAGGGATTAGAATTCTAACATGTTAACCTTCCATTTGAATCACTACCCCGAGGGCTCTAGAAGATGGCATGACAAAAGCCAAAGATATGCTCTAATTCTCTAGTTCTTTATGGATACTTTTTTTTTTTGATAAATAAAAGTTCATTAAAAATTCATTATCAACAAAAAGATCAAGACTGTTACAAGCATCCCAAGGGGAGGTGCGGGCTGCAGCCTCACACTTTAAAAGAAAAAAAAAAAATAGCACAAAGATTACAATTGGGTCCAATACAACTGATCCCTAGTTGCTCCTTGCTTGGCTAGAAAGTCAGCAAATGCATTAGCCTCCCTTCCACCCATTGTATAATCAAATTCATATGTTGTGTTGCCCATTTGAATTTCTTCATTTCATTTCTATAGCACCATACCACTGAATCTGGATCTCTAAGCCTACCCACCACTACCTTGGAGTCCCCTTCTATCACCAAACACTCCAAAACTATCTCTCTTGCAATCTGTACATCTTGTACGACTGCATACAATTCAGCCCTTAAAGAGTCTCCATTCTCCATTGGTCCCAAGTAGAGTGCTCTCAAATTCCCATCCTTGTCTCTTATGGTCCCTCCAATTCCAGATAGGCCTGGGTTGCCCTGACTACTCCCATCAAAGTGTAGTTTCCTAAAGCCTTCCACGGGCAGTGTCCAAATCAGCCATGTTTTAGTCTTTTGCACTGAACTAGAAGCCACCAAAAACCAATTCCTCCAAATGTCATCAAAGGAGAAATATCTAAACAGTTCCAAAGTTTGTAGCCAATGTATAGTTCTAGTCATTACATAGTCCATAATTTGTTGTTTACTTCTCTCCTTCTCTTGGAAGAATCTGGCATTTCTTTCTTCCCATAATGTTCAAACAATTGTTGCTAGTACACCTCCACGTTATTCTTCCCCTTTTCTTCAGCCATGTAAAGGTAGATGGATCAAACAACATCTTAATCTGCATTGGCATACTACCTGCACCCAAACAAAGAGAAAAACGACTCCCAAATTTCTGCAGCAAATGAACTGGAAATAAGCAAGTGATAGGCTGATAGCAAGATTCACCATCAGATTTACACAGGGTGCACCAATTCAGGGAAATACACAAAAAAGGCCTCTTCTTTTGCAAGTAATCCAAAGTGTTAATTTTCCCATATACCACTTCCCAACAGAAGCCTTAATTTTAGAGGGAATCGGCTGAAACCAAACTTCCTTCCAAGGTAAAGACAGAGAGAAAGAGGATTGGCAAAGAGCTTTATGAAAAGAGGCACAAGAGAAGAAGCCGTCAGGATTTGGAAACCAAACCAAACTCTCCTGGCTGGTTTAGAAGGTTCTAGGCAGGCTTTATCCAGAAGTAAGAGAATCTCTAAGCCTCTAACAAACAGGTGGCTACATCCCTCAACCCCCTTCGGAACCCAAAATCCCAATTGTGATTCAAAGGTGAAGTAGAATGGATTAGGTCCTAGGAAACTCGAAATCACCTTATTTTTGTACAAGGAAGTGGAGTACAAAGAAGGAAACAAGTCCTTTAAGGGTCAATCTTTATGGATACTTTCTACTCGTACCTTTTTTTCCCTTTTTCTTTCTGTGTGTGTGTGAAGTTCAATTGTAAATTTCTTGAGAACCATTGAGAGGAGGAAGACAGAACAAAGCAACCTCCTAACTGCCATGAGTATCTGTTTACCATAGATGGTCATGAAACTCAATCTTCACTTTAAACCATAGGGTATGGGAGATGCAGGGACAGTGGAAATTGTGCTGCAAAGCCAGCATGTAGTGATCCTAAATGCCTTTTGGTAAAGATTATCTTTGCACCAATCTCCATGGGAAAAGATGGTTCATGATAAAAGGACCCTGTAGATGGACCTAATTGAGTTAGCTATTTTTTATCTTCTTCTTCTTAGCCAACTTTGCATTGTTGGGGCATTACCTGACATGATAATACAGGAGATGTGGCACACGGACACAAAGATGGACTAACAGGATTGTTTTTTTTTTTTGATGAATAATGGTAGAATTTTATTCGAAAAATAAAACAGGTATAACAAGAGAGAATGTCCATTGAGATTTTTAGCCCGGGACCCCGGTTAACCCTCCAAAAGCTTACACTAGCGAGATAGATTTGCTTGTAGGTACTTTGAGGGAATTCAAGTAGTTGCCTAGTTGGTTCTTCTTTTACAAAATGAAATGATGGACATTCTGAGAGGGAGTATGCAATTTTTGCCTCTTTGTCTATAGGTTTTACTTATTAGGCCCTATTCAATTACACTGAGTTTCATGTAGGCTGCAATTTGAGGATCCCTTCTCCTATATTTTCTCTTTCACTGTTGAAGTAAATTAAATCTTTTCAATTTTCAACTAATTTAGGTGGTTCCGACTATTCACCATGACTCTTTACTTCAGAACTTTTTTTTTTCATGAGAAGGTAAGGTATTATTTAATTATAATAAGAAAAAAGAGAGCATGGTACACAAGGGATATACAGCCAAAAAAAACAATAATGCAGAGTACAAGGCATATGCACTATGATTTTGTATAATTGTATTTCAGAATATTCATGCTTTTCACAATGTGCATTATTATTAATATTTTTGATGGATAAAGTTAAAGTTTCATTGGTATCATAAATAATAAGTAACAGTTACAAGCATCCCAAGGAGAGGCGAGACATGCAGCCTCACACTTAAAGAAAAAAGCAGCAAGAGATTTACAACTATGCCCAAAACAACTGATCCCTCATTACCCCTTGCTTGGCTAAAGAATGAGCCAAACAATTTAGCTTCCCTCCCCACCCATTGTATAACCAGATTCATATGTTGTGTTAGCCATTTGAACTTCTTCATTTCATCTCTATAGCACCATATCATTGAATCGGGATTCTTTATCCAGCTCACCACCACCTTGGAGTCCCCTTCTATCACCGGGATCTCCACATTATCTCTTTTGCTATCTGGACACCTTGTAAAACTCATACAACTCAGCTGTCAATGAGTCTCCATTCCCCACCAGTGCTGAATAGAGTGCTATTAGATTTCCTTCCTTATCTCTTACGGCCCCTCCAATTCCAGAAGGACCTGGGTTTCCTGTTGCCTTGACTACTTCCATCAAAATTTAGTTTCAAAAAATCTTCAAATGGAGGTACCCAAGCCAACCTTGTTTTAACCTTCTGCACTGATCTTGAAGCCACCGAGTACCAGTTCCTCCAAATGTCATCAAAGGAGTATTGTCTAAACAAATCCAAAGTTAGTAGCCAATGTATAACTCTATTCATTACACAGTCTATAACTTGGTGTTTGTTTCTCTCCTCTTGGAAGATCCTAGCATTTCTTTTTTTCCACAAGGTCCAAATTACTGCTGCTCTTGTACATCTCCACATTAATCTTCCCCTTCTCTTCAGCCAAGCAAAAGTTGATGAATCAAACAACATCTTAATCTCCATTGGCACATTCCACCTACACCCAAACAAAGAGAAGAACCAGTCCCAAATCTCTGCAGTGAAGGAACAGGAAACTATTAAGTGGTAACAAGATTCACCATTGAATTTACAAAGAGTGCACCAATTTGTGGAAATACACAGAGTGCATTATTGTGCACCAATTTCATGGATATCATTGTGCATTATTATTTTGTGGCCAACATCCTTTTCTTCCTTTTTTCTGTTTGATCAGTTTTTCTTCTTTTTCTTTTTCTTGATTTGCTAGTGTTGGTCAATATGGCTTTTGCTTTGGATTTTCAAGAACATTGGTACAGGAACTCTTGCAACAAGTTCTTTCACTAGTTGCAAATGCTTATAAGTTAAAATGAACTGGGCAAAATGTTCAGGGCATGTTTGAATATTTGAATCGTCCATTCAACCACATGCATGATGCATATTCCATTCCAACCAGTTTTAGAATATTACTTTTTTTTGTTTTGGAAAAGATAAAGCATAAATTTCATTAATAGCAAAAAGGATATACAAACACCATGTATGCCAAGGAACTGTACACTGGGAATTTACAACCATTGCATCCAATTGATTTTCCAAAAAGAGAACTTAAATCAAAAAGTGAGGCAAGGTTTCCTCCTAAATGGCCTAACCAGATCAACCCATGAAAGCATCCTCCCTTTGAGTTTAGTAATCAACATGTCCTTGGTTCCACCCTTGTTATAAAACCCCTAGGATTTCTTTCAGACCTTATGGTCCAAAACACAGCTCGGGGGGCTATCTTCCATATTAGTGCCTCTTCTTTTCTTAAGCCCTGCAACTACCAGCAGTTGAAAAAAATGCTTCCATTGTTTCTGGAATACACCCTTCCACCTAAAAATCACTCCCACAGTTCTCCAAGGCTCTACAATGGAGAAATAAGTGATAAACAGTTTCTATGCATTCATTACACAAAATGCTAATCATCTGTTAAGGATAACTTTCCACATAAGAAGAGACACCTTAGAAAGAACTGCTGAGAACCAAAATTTTGAAGCTGGGAAAGGAGTTAAATTAGAACCAGCAGTTTGTTTATAGATGGATCTAGTAAAAAACACCCCAGAATTTCCCCAAATCCGTTCCCTCCTATCAGCCTGTGATGGATCAATCTTCACCTTGCTTAACTTCCGCATTAACTCAAACATAGGAGCCAACTTCCAATCATTGAGGTGCCTTCTAAATAGAAGCCCTCCTCTGCCATTAAAATTTCATAATTATTAGTCACAAGCTCATCCCTATTCTGAGAAATGTTAAGCAGCTGAGGAAATAGCTCCATTTGAGGTCTCTCCTCACACCAGACACCTTTGATAAAATCAGTATATGCCTTACCAATTCCCTTCCATAGTGCTCATCCATAAGAAGAGTTTACCACCCTGTGGTCCAAGCTCAATTGTCTCCAACTATATTTAGCTACGACCATCTACCCTTTTCATAAAAAAAATCCCTCAATTTTTTTCTCAAGTAACCCAACTACCTTTGTTGAAATGGGACAAAGAGACAAGCAATAAGTTGGAAGAGATGACAGAATGCTTTTAATTGAAGTTAGTTTACCACCAAATTCCAATTTCCAATTTCCAGAAAAAAATAGCCTTGCTTTAATGAGCTATCAAATGCCAATTGCCAGTTGGGAGTTCTATGCATACCAAAATAGCATTTTGGCCCTTATTACGGGCACATCTAAACTTGTTTATGACAAGAGAATGCCACAACTGAGCATGCCATTTCGGTTTATGTCTATATATTTTTTATGCTTTTCTGGTAGTACTGAGTTGTTCGTTATCTTGCCATAGCGGCATAGCCAACTTAGATGTTATAATTTTTTGGACCATTTTCTGAAGAATCCTTTGGGCTGGTAATATCTTTTGGGGGTGAATTTATTTCCATTAGACCACATAAACTTATGTATTCTAATTGCTAGCATTATTGAGAATATGTTCTTCCTACTTCTTTTTCTGTTTGGTAATTCTTCCTACTTTTTCTTAGTGCATCCTGCTTCAACTCTATGCATCGACTGATTGACTTTTGCTTTCATGTTTTTTTACCAAAACTGGCTTCATCGGTACCTTTCTTTTTTTGTTCTCAAAAGATAAGTCTTAGAGAATGATTTTTAGACCTTGCTTCTTGGCGCATGGTTTTCTTGTGCCCAGCATGCTGGTTCCACCCCCCCTCCATTTCTTTCTTGTTTTGGGTGTCAATGACTGCAACGAAACCTTCTGTCATTTTATGTCCAAGAGACTGAAGAAGTTTTTATGATTCTTTAGGAGTCTTGCAGCAATGTTTTGAGAGTTCACAGGTTTTAATGCTTGTATCAATTTTCCATCCTGGAAATTCTCTAGCCCCATATTGATATTGGGTGTCTTATTCTATAATTCATTCTATGTATTTGGTAATGTTAATATTTTTATCTTCCCTTTTGGCTGAAATTCATTTTTTATTTCCATGCAGCAAAGATGTCAACACTGTAAAGAAGTTGGTGGATGATTGTCTGAGCTGCCAATTGTCTGCTTCACTCCGCCCTCATGATGCAGTTTCAGCCCTTGGCCCCATGTATGATGGTCATGACAAGCATCACCTACCCAAGATGCTGTCTTGTGATCGATCAATTTCCAAGCTGCTTAATATCTGTAAAGATAAGAAGAATGAAATGAACCACTTTGTGCATAGTTTCATGCAAAAGGTTGCATATGTTCAATTCTTCATTAGAGACATTCGGCTACAGTTTCCAGCTTTTAAAGAGGCAATGGTGCGCCAAGATGATCTCTTTGAAGATATAAAATTGGTCCGTGGAATTGGTCCTGCATACAGAGCTTGCCTTGCAGAAGTAGTAAGAAGGAAGGCTTCAATGAAGTTGTACATGGGCATGGCTGGACAATTGGCAGAAAGGCTTGCAACAAAGAGGGAAGTTGAGGTCAGAAGACGGGAGCAGTTCTTGAAAGCACAGAGCGTTTATATTCCTCGTGATATATTAGTATCTATGGGATTATTTGATACTCCCAATCAATGTGATGTTAATATTGCTCCTTTTGACTCTAATTTGATAGATGTTGATATTGCTGATCTTGATCGTTATGCCCCCGATTATTTGGTAAACATTCATCTTAAAGGTGAGAAACAAGGATCATCAAAAGGGTCATTTTCCATATCAAATGACAGTTCTCAGTTGGCTGAAGCAGAAGATGATTCTGTGGAACTCTCTGAGAAATATGACTCTGAAGAGTTACTTGAAGGTTGTGATTCAGTAGAGATTGCTGGAACAAGCAAGATGGAGGTAGAGAATGCAAGGCTAAAAGCTGAACTTGCTTCTGCAATAGCAGTAATTTGTTCATTCAGTCCTGAACTTGAGTATGAGTCACTAGATGATAGTAAGCTGGATAGTTTACTGAAGAATGCAGCAGAGAAGACAGCTGAAGCTCTACATCTGAAAGATGAATATGGAAAACATCTTCAGTCTATGCTAAAGATGAAACAGATGCAATGTCTGTCATACGAGAAACGCATTAAAGAGCTGGAGCAGAGATTATCTGAACAGTATTTGCAAGAACACAAGCTTTCAGGTGGTAAGGATGTTTCTGAGTTTGTCCATTCAGCTGTTAAAACTGATGAGTGCAAGTCAGAAATATCAGGAGATGTGGAAGCTCACATGCCTTACATCTCTACTGAACCCATGGATGAGCTTTCCAGCACATCTGCTTCATTGGATGCAAAACTAGGACAGTTTTCCAGTCAGCCAGGCAAAGCTCGAGAAGGGGTGGATGAAAATATGTCAGATTCCTCTGGAATGATAAATCAGCAGTTGGATTCATCAATGCTGGAACCACATCGGGATGAGCTGCAAGTGGGTGATAAATCCAGGCAAGAGAAGATGGCAGAACAATTGGGTTTGGCTTTATCTAATAGCTCCACTGCTGAGACCACGTTAGAGCCTCAGAACATGTTACATTGTGAAACTGGAGGAGTGGATACAGATTCTAAACTTAAGGATGATTTTGTCTTGGAACTGCAAAGTGCACTTGCAGACAAGTCTAACCAGCTGAGTGAAACTGAAACCAAGCTCAAAGATGCAATGGAGGATGTTGACAACCTCAGGAGAGAGTTGGAAATGAGCCGGAAACTCCTTGATGAATCTCAGGTACTTTAATATGGCATGCATTTCCTTTCCATTTCCTGAAATTGCACATTTTTTCAGTATCATGAATCTGAGGATGTTTCCATTCTGTAAGATTGACTTCGTTTATTTTGTTCATTTATTCAGTGTATGTTATTGTAAAATTTATGGACTTGGTTATTTTGTGATTTTCATTGTTTTACACTAACTTTAGATGGAATGATGTGGTAGGAGATTTAATAATTAATCTGTTTCTTTATTTACTGTTGATGACTTTTAAATAATATTATCATTTCCAAATCTCTTATGTACTGGCCCTTAATAATATTTAGCGACTTTTAAATAATTTTTTTTGGGTTTCTAATCATATTCTTTAAAATGGTATCTCTGGAATCCTTTCCCTAATTCATTTGTAGAGATGAAATTGACTGTTGTGTTCATAGCAATTAGAGGATTTTGCTAATTATGTGACTTTTATTTAATACCCTTAATATTTCATGTTTCATGTTTATTTAGAAAAATGTGATGAATAGGTCAGTGTTAGGAGTAATTTCATATTCCTTTGGTAGGTTAGAAGGTAGTCTTGTCTCCTATGCTAAAAGTAGTCATTTTGATCAAGGATACCATCAATTATCGGTGGTTAGTTTAAAAACTTTTGGGCCTCATTCTTCTTTCATCCTTGAATAATTTGGGAGAACATGGTTTCCCAGAAAATAGGATCTCCATGGCAAATGCTTATGTTAATTAATATGGGGCAATCATGTTGTTATGCTTGGTTCTGCTTATAAAAGAAGTTATGTTCCCAACTTTTTGTCACCATTTGCCCCGGAATTCTTCCCATTGGTTTTAGTTTTGGTAAATTCAACTTCTTTAGGCCCTATCCCACCAAAAATTATGGCTTTCAGTTAGAACTTTGAAGGTGTTCCATAAGAAAATTGACATGTGTAACGTGTTTCCAGCAACTAAATTAGACCCTTTGCTACATAAGTGTTGTTTTTCCAAATCTCATGGAGAAACAATTCAATACCTATTTATTTCCTGTAGTTCTGTTTCAAGGACTTGAGCACTTCTTGGCCTTGTTTGGTGTTGGATGGAAGTCAGCATAGAATACAAAACAACTATTTGACCCAAATTGGTTCTCTCTTCCAACCAAAAGAGGAACAAATATCTGAAGTCTTAGGACTGCAGTGCCATGAATGATATGGGAGGAAGCCAGTTTTTTCAAATAAACAGAAGATATGGTCCATGATTTACCTTGTCACTATTAGAGTGACATTAGCTTGAAGAATTTTCTCTATGAATGACATTAGCTGAAACTTGGGTTGCTGTGGCTTGATCTTATGATTTGAGGACTGTTATGGCCCAACACTGGTTCTCCCTTTGGGTAATCTGGGACAATGTGGTGTTGGTTGACTGCTCAGGAATCATGTTGTTGTGATCCCATGTCATTTGTGGTCCAATGGATTGTGGGGATTCCATAATAGCTCAGTTTCTTTCCTTGCAAGGACTTAAAGTTGGCTAAGGATCTTAGTTTTGATAGGGTGGAAGTAGAAGGGCAGAAGGGGATTCAGAGGCTTTTTTAGGCAGGATGAAAGGAGAATTAACAAGTGCATGGACATATTGGCATTAATTAATGAAGCCAGCCAGATCTCTTATAGCCACAGGGAACTTCTTGTTCCATTGGATTAGGAGATGATCAAATGAGATTGCAGGTTCCTTGGCAAGGTTGGGAGTACTAAAGGGTAGGATAGTACTTACACTCAGCAATGCCATATTAATGGGGTAGGGTGTATAGAGAGGACTATTATATGCAGTTAAGGGCTTTTGGGCTAATGGGCTTGTTTCTCCATGAATATTATTGGGTGTTCACATTTTTATATTCAATAAAGTTTTAATTACCTATCAAAATAAATTATTTAGTAATCAAAAAGGAAATTAAAGAGTTGTCCTTTGACGCCTCGAAGGGCTATGTTCCATTACCTCCGCAGCTCTTGGATATTGTCCATTGAGGAGTTCAAAGACATATCCATAGAGTATAACCCCCTTTTTGCTAATGTTGTTCATTCATTCATCCTAATACAAGATATTTGAAGCCTTAAGGAGCTTGGTACAAAGGTGGCTCATAGAATCAGGAATGCAAAATTTTTGACATTAGCTATTTGAAGTAATGCAATTAGGAAACAAATAAAGAGATTTAAGAGTTCTACATTTGTGAATATGTTTTATATGTTAGGTTTGATTTTATTGGTTTGATTCTATAGAGCCTTCAGTACCAGTGGGAATGTGGACTTATCAGAAATGGAGGTAAGAGCCCATTTCATGGGGGCTCATGTTGGGTACCCACGTTGCAAAGTAGGAGTGTAGAATCAAACCTCTTCTCTCACTATTGATGGTTGTTTTGCTAACGTTATTAAAAGGAACTAGAGAGTGGGGAGCAGTTTTTGGCATGTTGTACAATGCCTCAACCAAATTAGGGAAACTTTGGCATGATGCTCAACTGTGCCTGGGCATGTGTCTCAGCCCAAGGTTCAAAGTATATTGACACAGGCCGATACGCCCACCGGTAGGGCGTATCGGCCTGTATCGGTACTTTTTTTATGTTTTTATTTATTTATTTTTTCAAAACTGGTTCAGAGGGGGTCGGTTTAAGCCCTGGCTACCCTCTGAACCGTGGTCTGACCCGATACAACCCCTGTAGGGGAGTATTGGGAAGCTACTGGCACGATACGGGCCGATACGTATCGATACTTTGAATCTTGTCTCAGCCCAGTTATGCACCTTTTCAAGCATAGTGGCTAGGTCAGGGGTTCCACCCCCAAACCCCCAGCCAAGCTCCTTGAGGCAAGTCCAAGTTCATGCGAGGGTGTATAATAAACTGCATCTAAAATCACAAAATCAATCTCTTTGTATATGAACCAAGAATTTAGGACCCTCACAAGAACTTGTTTGAGCTTGCTTCAAGAGGCTTGGTATAGAGCGGAGGGCCGATCTCAGAGAAATTGGAATGCAAGATGTTAAACATTATGTTAGCTACCTGAAGTAATGCAATTGGAAGAGAAATAAACAGATAAAGTTTCACATGCTTGAATTGTTGAGTGGTTTGTATATGTTTTATATGTTATGTTTGATTCTATTTCTATATTTTCACTTCGGATGTGCTTTATATATTATATATATATTGTGTGTGTTTAAATATGTGTCAATAGGCTTTTTAAAACATATAGTTTATTTCAATATTTAAGTTTGCATTTTTTTGAATTAAATATTATTTTAAATGTTATTTTGATTTTTTTAAACTTTGTGCCTTCTTTCAAAAAGGCATGTTCCTTGCAAAATCGGATTCAATCCTTTCGAACCGTCCTTACAGCCTTTTGCTGCTGTGCATTGGAAACATCTCCATACTTGTATGTTTTTATTCGTGGGAGATATTCCCAAATCCCAATGCACAGCTGCAAGGGGCTGTGAGGATGGTATGAGGACAGTTTTGTGAGGCTCAAATCTGATTTCGTGCCTTGCTCCATGGACACAAAAGCCCCCTTGTGCTTTTAAGACACTGGGTTTATGTTCCATGTTTTGTGATATAATAATTCAGCACCAATTACCACTTGTATAAAATATGCCTTTTTTATCCATCTATAGGCTTCTTTCAAAATTGTGAGAAGGATACCTTCATACCTCCACAATATTCTTGTTTTTAAAGCATGTACTTCAATACAGCTAATGTATTTGTTTACTTTGAACAGATGAATTGTGCTCACTTGGAGAATTGCCTGCATGAAGCAAGAGAGGAAGCACATACACATCTCTGTGCTGCTGATAGAAGGGCCTCAGAATATAGTGCTCTTCGGGCCTCAGCTGTCAAAATGCGCAGCCTTTTTGAGCGACTACGTAGTTGCGTCACTGCCTCAGGTGGAGTGGCAAATTTTGCTGATTCCTTGCGTGCTTTGGCTCTTTCTTTGGCCAAGTAAGTTGTTAAGCCCTCCTGTCAAATATTGGCATTATGTTTTGGTACTTTTTGTCTACAGTAATTTATATGGATTATTAATATTAAAATTCCCTTCCAAAATCTAACTTGTATACTTGTGATCTTATTATGGGAAATTTGGGTGGCATATGGGTCATAGATGTATTGTGCTGTGTTTGATACACACGGCACAGGTGCTCCTTGACCAGATAGTCTTCTTAGCCAAGCAATTGCATAGAATATGAATTCTGATAAAAAGGAACTGCATAGAATCTGAATCAGTCTGTTATTTTTTCCTGCATTAAGCTTCCTTTTACCTTCAGTTTGGAACCAGTGATAATTGATTTCATATGTTCTATTTATTGCTCTGTACCAGTAAAGGTAAATCATTTTTGCTTGGGGTGCATATACTGCTGTTTCAATGTATTGGTTGCTTTTTGTTTTCAGCTCCATTAATGACAATGAGGATGATGGTTCTGTGGAGTTTCGGAACTGTGTCCGAGTTCTTGCAGACAAAGTTGGTTTTCTGTCTCGGCACCGTGCAGAGCTTCTAGAGAGATGCTCAAGGGCTGAAGCTGCACATGGGCTCCTAGCGAAGGAGTTGGAAGAAAAGAAAGACTTGGTCAAAAGCCTATATGCGAAGCATCAACTCGAGAAACAGGTCAGTTCTTAAACAGCGCTTGTTGCTTTAACCATTTTCTGGTTGTGATATGACAGGATGAATATGTGGTAATCTATGCTCCATGAAGTTTTTCACCATGTTTTAATGGTGAACCACCAAGTCATTTGATCTTGCTAGTTAAGTTTGTGTGGCTCCTGTTGGGTGAGTGAATGTTGACTTTATTTACCACTTCATTTATGAGGATGAGGAAAGTTGGTAGTATTTTGTCAATGGCTACTATTAGAGATATTTAAAAAACTACTGTTAGATATAACCATGTTTACATTTGAACTGTTAAAAATAGGCTATTGGTATTTTATTTACTTATCTATTTTGTGAGCATGGGGATGGCCTGCTTGTTGCAAGATGCCAATCTTATTCGACTGAAAGCATATAGCTTTATTCTTTCTAGTTATCGATGAGAATCAGTAGATGGTAGGTTGCATCATGGTTGAGCTTTGCAATGCATACATGGCATAAACATCAGGGGCTGGAGTTGGAGTTGAATTTCCTATTTGACATCATCATCATATCCAAGCTTTATCCCAACTATATGGGGTATGGGGTCTGGCTACATAAATCCTGTTTTTGTCATTCTGTTCTGTTTAATGCCATATCCATCATTATATTATTGGCGCTTAACTCATTTCTTACTACCACCTATGTCCTTTTTGGTCTACCCCTAGCTGCTCTTCTAGTGTGTTTGTGCCTTGAACTTACAAAAAATCACTTCTTACGGTTACAGGTGCTATTGATGGTCTTCTATGCATGTGACCACACCATATGAGTCCACACTTTCTCTCAATTTATCACCTAGTGGAGTTATTCCTAGTTCCTATAAATGACTTCATTTTTGATTTTATCCTTTTTAGTTTTTCCATTCATCCATCGCAGAATATGCATCTCTTCTACACTTGTTTTTTTTGCATATGATTTTTGACTGTCCAACACTCTGCTCCATACAACATAGTTGGCTTCATATTTTGGACCTGTTTGTCATACATGTAAGGTGACTCCCAACCAAGGACCATTATCATACAGCTCATTTATATCCATCTTGCTTATTATCCTTACAGTTTTGTTCATCTGTCGCAGGCCAACAAGGAGAAGATATCATTTGGTCGTTTAGAAGTCCATGAGATTGCTGCATTTGTCCTCAATGACAATGGGCATTACGAGGCAATTAATCGGTACTGTTCTAACTACTATCTCTCGGCAGAATCTGTGGCCTTGTTTGCGGGGCACCTCCCAAACAAACCCGGTTACATAATTGGGCAGATTGTACATATAGAACGGCAAATGGTGAGGCCACCACCTGTTCGGTCTGAGCATGCTGGCAATCAAATAGATAACCTGAATTCCGATACGGGGGCTCATCGGTTGACAACTCTGGGGACTGTGTCTACAGCAAACCCATACGGGCTCCCTATTGGCTGTGAATACTCCATAGTGACAGTAGCTATGTTACCTGACACCACTATTCATTCATCACCTCCTTCCTGATCTTGCTGCGGGCAGACAGACATGATGGAAGAAACCAAGTGTACATATCGTATATATCGTGGTAAAGATAGACTCTTGTTTTGATGATCGGAGTGGAGGTTGAATTCAATCCTTTTCTGTACAGCTGATCAATCTGGTCTTCAAGTTTCTCTATTTCCCTGTATATAATAAGCTACTCTTCATCTAACTAGAAAATTGTAAATATATCTTCAGTCCTTTAAGCTTTTAACTTATTGATCTTTTATGCTTACAATGCCATAGTCTGACCACCTTGTTTCTTCCAATTCCTACAATGCATGCTGGATGGTTTGTAATTTCGGAAGTAACCCAACTGGGCAAGGGAAAATGATGATCCAGTAGCAATGGGTAGTAGGATCAAGAAATAAGTGTCCTAATATCCGCCTTTTACATGGACCGACCAATCAGAGAGTGTCATGTCATTTAAAATCTTTTAGTGAGATTTAGTGTTTGTTATTTACTGTTAAGGGAAATTGTCTAAAACTCACCATGAGTTTTTAGCATTTTTCTTGAACTCACCACAACTTTTCAAAATGTCTAAAACTCACCATGCCAGTTTTTAATTTTTAAAACTTATCTTCTATTAATGCATCGTTAATACTTCTTAACAGAGGTGTCAACATCAGCCAAGGTTCAAAATATTGATACACCTGATACGCCAGTAGGGGTGTATTGGGCGATATCGGTACTGTTTTTTATACTTTTTTTTATTTATTTTGAAACCAGTTTAGGGGGGCCGGTTTAAGGCTCCTCCATCCCCTGAACCGGTCAGAACCTCAATACACCCACTGTAGGGGTGTATCGGGGAGGTCCCAGAACAATATGTATCGGCCAATACGGGCTGATACATGTCAATACTTTGAACCTTGACATCAGCATAAATAACAATTTTTATGACCAAATTACCCTTGGATGGCGACTTAGAGGAAAAGGGTCTTTTAGTTTTTAATTTTCATGTTTTTTTTTGCATTTTTAGTGTTTTGTTATAATTTCCAATATATTTTTATAATTTCTGTTTTTTTACATTTTTTCTATTTTCTACAATCTATAATTTTTTCTATTTTTTGTTATTTATTTGCAATTTCTGTGTTTTTTTATAATTTTTGGTGTTTTTTTCTACAATTTTATTTTCTGATTTTGTTTTTCAATTTCTATAGTTTCTATAATTTGAAAATAATTTTTTATTTTGTTTGCAATTTCTATAATTTTTTATATTTTTTGAAATTTCTGTGTTTTTCTGTATTTTATATTTGAAAATATTTTTTGAACTTTTTTTTTGTTTTTCATGTCTAATTATTAAAATATATGTATATATTTTATATTTTTTCTATGAAGGTTAAAATGGTAATATATTAACACCCATTACTTTGTTTAACATCAAGTTAGTGGCATGGTGCGTTTTAGACATTTTGAAAAATTGTGGTGAATTTAAGAGAAATGCTGAAAATTCAAGGTGAGTTTTAAACAATTTCCCTTCTGTTAAAGATTTTAGGCTTAACCTTGTTGTCCACTGTCTTTGATGACCGACAAAAGCAGCAACATCCAATCTCTCTCTCTCTCTCAACACTCCTAAGGACGATATTTCAGTCGTCAACTGATAAGCCATAGAAAAGGAAAGAATTTTTGGTGGATCGCCATCCTCCCTGATGGAAATCAACTCGTCTTGTGTTGGATTTGTTTAATGCTTGCTACCCTAAAATCTCTCTCTCCCAAACACCATGCATTCGCTGAAATGTGCAATTCCCTAGATAAGACAATCCCATTATCTTACAGCCTTTCCTTTTTCTCTTGTTTAATATTCTGATCCTTGCGATTTTTTTGCTCATTTCTTCAACATGTGTTTTTGGGACCTTATATTCAAGGTATTTTTTTTTCTTCTTTGTAAATTTTATCGTTCTCTGAATTTCTTTTTCTGTACTAATACTTTGAAACTTGGAACGGTGGAAATGAGTCATGCAATAAACAGAGCAGAAAACAGTGGAAATGAGGCATGCAATAATCAGAGCAAAAAACAGAGAAAAACTTAGATTAAATTCAAAGATTCTCAAGCGACGAGAATTATCTAGAGCGTTGTAATTCTCTTCTTAATTCTCATACTCTCAGTCTCTCATCTCAATTCTCATACAGTTTCATATTGTCATATACTTCGGTAGTTAGGCACTAAACAATTTAGCCATTTAGGAGGCTTTGAGAGGCTTCAACTGTTAAAATCAAGTTGAGATTCTGAATTGATAATCGGACCATCACGGTAAGTGTAATTAAATTAATTTTTATTTTTTTAGAATTAAAAATAATAGTCGGCTCCTCCTCCTGAAACCAATTCTCCAACGGTAAGTTCGCTAGCCAAATTTGAAAAATATTTAAAATATAGGAAGTTGAGGGGAAGGGGAAAAGAGCCGTTTGCAAAAATGTAGGATTGGCTTTAACTTCAGTAGTAAGGGTGGTACTAGCCACTTGGCCAGACATTTGCTCCTCCATGAGAAATAAGAAAAAGACATTTACTTTAAAGATATGTTGAATGTTGAGGATAAATTACAAGACAAAGAAAGGCATGGCACTACTACACCTGATGAAGCATATGAGTAACATCAAGGGGATTGAGTAATTTTTTCAATTTTATTTAAATTATTTGTTATTTTTTCAACAATGTAACTTTTTATTTTCAAATTGTATTTTTTTTATATTTTACATGAACTAAAATTCCTATTTTTTTGCAATTTGTTGTCCATTTTGTATTTTAGTAAGTATTTTTTCATTTCGTTGTTAGATTTTTTATTTTTTAAATTTGTTCCCAAAGTGGGCAAAACCCAAAGGCAAGTTAGCAAAAAAAAAAAAAATGTTTAGGCCTTTCTGGCCCGGTTCGGTTGAGGCTTGACACGACTCAGGCTCACAGCATGGCTTGCAGCCAATAACCCACTCGGCCCAAACTTGTGGTCCAGCATGGGCCCGCATGGGCTTGGGCCATGGGCCATGTTGGGTGGACCCCCAACTTATCCTAGGGGAAGGAAGAACAGCCTGACTCGGCCCACGTATCGGCACGACACAATCCACTCTTTGCATGGGCCATGCCATGCTGGCCCAGTACAGCCTGATTTACACCTCTATACTTGTTACACACATGTTGGGGGTCAGGGGTCATGCTCATCACTTTGTACAGTTACATGCCCTTTATTGTTAGTATCCTTGATAACCCCCTCAAGGTGATGGGGGAGATGATACTGTCAACTTGCCAAGAAGAAGAGTGAATCTAGGAGAAGACAAAGACTACAAATACACTTAATTTTACAATTCTGTATTTTCTATTATCTTTTGTATTTTTATCTATTTAGTATAATAATTTTGTTATTTAATTAGGGCCTCAAAATTTGAACCTTTTGTCCATCGAGTTGGCTTAAAAACATGGGTTGTTATACCCTTAAAATCATTGAACATATATATAGAGGGATTATATTCAAAAATAGGGTATTTGGTCTAGATTATCACTTATCTATATCAAAGAGGGGAGGTGAGGGGTCCTCTCACTACAAAGCACAAATACACTTTTTTACTTCTCTCTTTTGCACATGTGGTTATTTATTTTTAAATTAAATTATAAAAAGTCTAAGAAATCATTATAAAAAGCCTCTTAGGTCTTAATTTTCTTTAATAAAATCCATCATTACTCTCTAATAAAACTATTCTTAAAACTCCCCTTCCCCCAATATTTTTTTAAGGCCCCGTTTGGTACCCACGAACAGGGGTCTGGAATCAGAATCGGAATGGGCTATTCCGATTCCAACTGTTTAGTTGGGCGGAATCAGAATTTCATTCCCATTTCTACTGGAATGGCACTCCCCCATTTGAGGGAATGGCCATTCCCTGCCCCTCCCTTGGGAATGAAATCCCATTCCTGCTGATTTTAATTCCCATTTCCATTCCTGTCTGAACTAAACAGATTTTTGAGAATAGACTATTCCGATTCCGATTCCGAAGGATTTTGATTTCGATTTACATTCTAATTCTAACTGCAAACCAAACGGACCCTAAGTTGAGAAAAGTTGTACAAGAGACTCCTCGTATTGGTTATCATGTGGAAGATTTGTCAAGGAACCACAAAGGAAAGGCTCAAAAGGATGGACACAATCTTTTGCGCATCTCCTTCTATATGTGTAAATTTTGGTTTCCTAGATCAATAATGAACTTAATTCCTTCACAAAAGGCCATAGCTTCAACATAAAACAGGATCATTACGAGTCAAATTCATAGCTTTGGCCATGACTTCAACATAATGAACATAACTACTCCACCAAATGGCTGACTTCCTTGCTTCCCTCCATTGCCCCCTAATGGGAACCGTGTACCAAGTATTTTGCTCTTAAATGCGTGCCCATAAACTCACTCTCCTTCAAGAAATGCCAATAAGTGAGTTTCATTGCAAGACATTTGTTGGCAATTTTCAGGTTTTTGAAACCTACACTCCTACACACACATTTGGATGGTATTTGGCATTAATGTAGCTTTTCAAGAAACGGTGCCAGCTCAGCATTGTAAATGCATTTAACAAAAAAACGGTTAAAAAATTATTTGCTTGAGCCGTTTATTTGATAAATAACTCTCTCCAAAATCGTGTGAATCGTTTATTAGAAAAACGTCAAAATTCATGACCAATTTTTCACTGTTTGGCTTATATAGCACCTAATGGGTCTAGTGGCGCCTAATGGCTCCGAGGCATAAAAAAAATCATACAAAACATTTAAACCAGATTTTCTCTCATTTTTCAAAATAAAATCGCACAAAACATTTATCTTATAAACGCCATCAATACCAAACAACCCCTTGGCTTTCATGAACCTAACCCATGACCTTGAGGTAAATGTGCTTGGACGATTGGGTGATCAACCTCCTATTCAGAAGAGCCTTAAGCCCATGGACAATATATTTTAAACCCTTTTGCAACTTTGGAATAGGAAAACCATCCTCCGTCGTCAAAAACGTGGGTTGGGTCGGTGATCAGTCTGTTGAGCAACAGTACAGAGCACAATTGGGAGATGGTCACTTCGGCCCACTACTAAGTGCTGAACCCATGAATTTGGAAATCTGATTAGCCACTCAGAGGAACACACAAAGCTCTATTGAGTCTTTTGATGACTAGTTCATCACCCTCTCGCCCATTTGACCAAGTGAAGGGAGGGCCATGGAATTAAGCCAATGTCAGCCACCCTGTATTCACACATCAGAGATCTTTGAAATTAA